TCTCCATCTCCTGGGCCAGAACAACCAGTCTCCATCTCCTGGGCCAGCTGTGACAGGAGTATTAACAATCATTTCAAACTTTGGTTTATGTCTGTCGATCATCTCAAGACCCCAAAGCTTGATTTTCATGACCCGAAGACCTGAACTTCAGAAACCTCTGATCTAGAGAAACTAGAAGTGGTATCAAGGTTTCTGACATGGTCTCAGGTTCCCATCACCAGGGGATCTGGTCTTTTGTCCCTGGTCCAATACCGGACTGTCTTTTTGATGAGAGTCCCTCCCTCTGGTCTGGTCCAGACTACATGCCTCTTACCGTCTTCACCCTGTATGGTCCTGGTGTCCTCAATGACTGTGTGGACGTCTAGGCCCCAGAGATGGTACCAGGCATGTTTGCTCAATGCGTGTCAACGGTTTCCACAGTCCTGGTGGCATTATTTGTAGAGGAAATATATTTAAATCTTTGGTTTGCTCTGCAGGTTAGTCCTGAACGTGGGCTCAGTAAAGTTGGACGTGTGTCCTCTTAAAGACATCTGTCCTCAGAGCAGCACAAAGAAAGGATTGATCCATCATCTCTAGAGCTTTTATTTGACGTCGATCCTCGGCACCTGCAGATGAGGAGGAGATATTCACCGAGATTTGTTTTTTCAGTGTCTTCGTGGGACCTCAAACAAACACCTCCCTCCTCCCAGGCTGGTGGAGGTGACGAGGAGGAGATGGAGGAGCAAGGAGACGTTTGTGCTGAGAGTCGGTCCTCCTCCTCGTGTAATCTGTCTCTGTGACCTCTTCATGTGCTGAATTATAATAAAGCATTTCAAAGCTGACACGCACGCGCACACACACGTGCACTGAGGGATGTCAGATGATTGCATCATGCGTCGCAGTGAGTAATGATGCGTGTGAGGCGGCGGCAGCAGGCATGAAAATGAACAATATGTTTTCCCGTGTTTGTGTGAAATTTCTCTGCCACAAGATGGAAGCTGTGTGTGTGCATGTGTGTGTGCATGTGTGTGTGCGTGGGCCTGTCATCTCGTAATGGTGTTGCTATCTGACAGAGAGAAAGACAGAGAGGCTGGTTGTCCCTGACGACGGAGCGCCGTGTTGCCAGGCAACTGCGCTAACAATGGCCCACCACCAGCAGTGTTCTAGAATGTGGGCGTGGCCTGCAGACAAGGGAGGCGGGGCTCTTCTCAGCCTGCCAGGCCTGAAGTTAAGTGAAGGATATTTTACCAAAGTGTCAGAACGTGTGTGAACCCAAACAAACCGGACGTGCAGAAGAAGAGTTTCAGTCTGTGGAGAAATGGATCAAATCTGTTTAAAGATAAAAACTAATCGATTAAATGTTCATGGAAACGTCCTCAGCATGCACCACGTTCAGTTTTCCTTCGTGTCAGAAGTATCTCCGTACCTCTGGACTGGAGCTCTTGCAACGAGCCAGTAAATAAACAAACAATAAATATGTGGACTAGAACATCTGTGAAGAAAATCTGAAGGACGCCGATGAGATGACAGAATATCTGTGATGATCTAAGAACATGTTTTCTCAGCTGCGAGGCCTGAAACAACGTTATAGCTGCTTCCAGTGGCTGATATGGTCACCATGGTAACCACGCACCTGCAAGTGCTAATAAGACAGGCAGACAGAGACACAGAGTAGAAAGTAAGCCTCAAACTAAAAAGAAGTCGGGTCCAGACTGTTCTGCACCGTGCACGAGTCATGTGACCGTGCACGAGTCATGTGACCGTGCACAGTCACATGACATGAGGCAGAAATGATGTTTCACTTCCTGTTTAAAAGAGCACATTCTGAGGTCAAATATGGTTCTGTGGAAGTCTGGGTGGTCCCGCTGTGCATTCTGGGTGTTTGAGAGTAAACTTCAAGGATACGAACATCTGATGGAGGAACTGTGGAAACGAGACGTTTGTCCGATCAGCAGTTTGCGAGAAGTTCAGACGGAAGTTGGTGACATCATACGTGGAGCATCTTTATTAATGTTGACGCGGTGTGAACATCACCGGTGTTTACCTGGCAACAGGCAGGTGCAGCAGGAAGTGATGTCACGCAGCAGGGAGGTGGCGTGAGCCGGGTTACGAGTCCAAGTGTCTAATTCTGGTTACATTAAATAAAAATACAGTTGAACAAACATTTGAGAGTTATTTCTGTCTCTGCAGTTTTACGTTGAAAACAAGTTTCATGATGAAAAACATCAGATGTTTAAAGAGAAATGATCGTTTTATCTTTTAATTTACAGCGAGTGAGAATCTGAGCATCAAAATCTGGTCTTTGATTCTTTTTGTTGGGACTGGATTCTGTCTCTGGGACAAACTGAGGGACACGGACTGAGCTCTGGTCTCTGCAGAGACTTTAAACCAGTCGGTGACGTCCAGAACTTTTCTTCTGGGTTCAACCACTGAAGCAGACAAATGAGACAAAGACTAAAGACCAGCCCAGAAGGTCCAGAGAACTGGTCCACAACACAGGAACACCTGGACCAAGACTTTTGCACACGCAGCTTCAAAGTGAAGGCTGTCAGAGATGGTCAAGGTTCTTTATCGTCCTTCTCATCACGAGGTGGAACCAACCTGCGTCTCGGGGTCCCAGTTACTCCCAGCAACACAATACAAAGAACCAGTACAAGATCTAAGATCTACACTAATGATGTCAAATAATACGGTTTATTAAACAGCAGCCTGAACATGAGTCCGTGCTGAGCACATGGTATGAACACAGCAGCTTAAGGTAAGAAATCAGCAGCATGGATCAGCAGCAGCACAGACAACGGGACATATTTCTAATTAAAGTGTTGTTACGTATTTTTGAGTCTAAACAGCTTCAGGGGAGAATCTTTGTGTCCCCAACAACTGTACTCTGTCCACATGGAAGACGTCCACAACATGTCCCACACAAAACGTCTCCTAATGTCAGTTTGTCTTCGTTAGAAGACAATGTTAGTAATACTTCAGTTTCAGCCTGCCTCCATGTCCTCAGTCTGTCTCCATGTCCTCAGTCTGTCTCCATGTCCTCAGTCTGTCTTCATGTCCTCAGCCTGCCTCCATGTCCTCAGTCTGTCTCCATGTCCTCAGCCTGTCTCCATGTCCTCAGCCTGCCTCCATGTCCTCAGTCTGTCTCCATGTCCTCAGCCTGTCATGTTTTTAGTCTGTCTCCCTGTCCGGTCTCTGGACTTGGTTCTGATCCACCTGACCCTGTATGATCAGCAGTCTGGTAATTTGACCCCGATGGTCTTAATTAGAGCAGCAGAGCAGCCGCTCCCTCCAGACTCATTATCTCTTAGTGTTTGTCTTCTGTGGCCCACCGAGGAAGAGGAGGAGGAATGTGTCCTTCATGCTCCACCTGGTGGTGAGAATCGTGAACTTCAGCTGAGACAGACCTGAGATCAGATTCAGGACCATCTTCAGGAGGTTCTGCTGCTCTGGACCCAGTTGAGTGTTAACACAACACCAAGATGGAAAGCTCCTCATGCTGGAGCTCCTCGTGTTGGAGCAGGTGTTGGATTCATCCTGAGATGTTTCAGAAAACGTTCATCTTCAGGATGTAAACCTCTTTGAACGATTGTTTCTCTGCTCTGTCACGGAGCAGCTGAAGGACTGAAACAGTTTTATTTTTGGACATTTATGATATGTAACCATGGCAACCATGTGGTTTTACAACCAGGAGCAGCTGATTAACATCTCAAAGCTCAAAGAACTCAACTACAGCCCCAAATCCCCGATGAGTTGAAAAGGAGGTGCCGTGGACACATCTCCATCTACCTGGAGGAGGTGCTCGAGTACCTGACCACCGAGATCCTGGAGCTGGAGGGAAACACGGCTCATGACATGAAGAAGACCGGGATCATCCCCAACACCTGCAGCTGTCCGCAACGATGAGGAGCTCAACAAGCTGCTGGGCCAAGGAGTTCTGACCAACATTCAGGAGGTCCTCCTGCCCAGGACCGAGGGACTCACCAAGTCCAAGAATACCAGGAGCAACATCTGCAACCAGTTCCTTCATATGGGCCAGAGGAGGTCCTTCCTGTCCAGTTTCAGCATCTAGAAGAACTCTTGAACCCAGGAGGATGAGCTTCATTTAGTTTGTGAATTTAATCATGTTCTCAGCTGATTCACCCTGAAGGTCAGACCGTGCAGTGACTACAGGCCTGTCAGCAGGTCAAAGGTCATGACCGGTCCTCTCTAAAATCAACATGACCGCTGGACTTAGTTTCATCTGATGGAACCTCAAGACCTCCGGGACTTGTTCGCTCTGAGACGGGGGACAGAGCTGGAGTGTCTGGAACCTTCTTGATCCAGATCAGGGACTCCAGAGACCTGAATCTGTTTTTATGATGAGAAGTTTGAAGATTCATCAGATCCTGACGGAAGTTTGTCTTAAACCGAGTCCATCTGTTGGACCACAGGGGACCAACCTAAGTCCATCTGTCCAACAGCTGAAGCTGGGACCAAACTGGGTCCAGAAGGACCAGGATCCCAAACAGCAGTTGATCTACAACAGAACGGGTCAGAATGAACAGAACCAATGGTCCAGTCAGGGTCCAGAACCTGAACCGGACTGAAACAGAGCTGAGCAGAATCCTCAATGAAGTGAAGCAACGCTGGAAAGAAGAGTGGACCAGAACCAGAAGATGTTGGAATCTGTCTCCCCACCATCACAGACATCTACACCTCCAGATGCAGGAAGAGGGCCACCTGCATCATGAAGGACCACACTCACCCAGCACACACACTTTTTGTCCCGCTCCCCTCAGGAAGGAGGTTGAGGAGCATTAAGTGTAGAACCACTAGACTGAGGAACAGCTTCTACCCTGAGGCTGTTAGACTCATGAATCTCTAACCAGGAGAATCACTGTGATGACACTGACTGTTACTTCTCTGTGCTGCTGATCTCTTGCTGCTGATCTCTTGTCTTTAAGCTGCTGTGTCCATACCATCTGCTCGCCACAGACTCATGTTCAGGCTGCTGTTTAATACATCATGTTAGTTTAGGTCTTTGTGTACTGGTTCTTCATATTTTGCAGTTTCTGGTGTAACTGGACCCTGAGCAATAACTTGGTTCCACCTCATGTACCACACGTGAAGAGGATGAACCGCTCCAGAACCAGTGAGGGTTCTGGATCAGGAACTGGTTTTGTTGGGATGAAAGCAAAGACCCGAGTGACTCCTGGACCAAACCTTTATTCAGAACCTGAAGACAGTGTTGACGGGTCCACAGCAGGGTTCGTGCGGACCTGAATTTATAGTAAGACCTGGTTCTGGTCCGACTCGTGTCTCTTAGAAAAGCATAAATAAACGTCCCGCGGTCCGAAGCTCCGGACAGAACCACGAGTTCATGTCAAACAATTTAAAATCAACAGAAACTTCTTCTGCGGTCCGTTTCACACTTTGTGTTGGAACCAGAACCACAGGACGGGTTCTGACGGGCCGCCAGGATCTGACCGTCTCTGCTCAAGTGCTCGGTGTCGCTGGAGTCAGAGTTCAGAGCGCGGTGGTTCTGAGGCTGCGAGCCGGGCCCGGAGCAGAATCCGAGGCGTGCTGGAGCGGAGACAAGGCCACGTGGTTGAACCTCCCGTCAGCCGGGAGACGCTCTGCGCTCCTTCTGTCCAACAGGAGGTGAGCAGGAGGTCCAGGACTCTCAGGCTGGACCCCAGCTGTGTGGTTGGAGTCCAGTCCTGGGGGACCACCATCAGCTGAGCAGCTGGGGGGGTGGAGGTCCACAGGAGCGACCCGACAGTCTGGACTCGAGGGTTTGAGCCCATCTCCTCTGGAGGTCAAGTCTCCGCACGGTGGATCAGTGGAACAGGAGGAGTTCACAGGGTTTGAGTCGACAGGTGAAGGTATTTTAGTCTCGGCTCTGCTGTGAGGAGTGAACTCGGGGGGTCCGTCGGTTCTGTTCGACCCGGGCAGCTCGGCCCGGAGCGCCCACACGTTGGTCAGGTGACTCCTCAACGTCTCCGTGGGGGGGACGGCCTGACTGCCGGGGACACCTGCCGGGTCAGAGGGACCGTGAGGCGGGCCGGCGGTCTGCTGAGGACTCCCTGCGTCTTTGTGTCTGAGCGGAGGTGGAGCGTTCCTGCTGCAGGACCGGGCCGGCCCGGCCCATTTGAGCAGAGGAGGAATGTCCAGAGGAGGCAGGGAGGGGACGGAGCTGCTCCGACAGTCCAAACCTGAACCCTGAGGGTCCGGTGTTGTCTCAGGTCCGTCCTGAGGAGTCTTCTTCCTGGCATCAGGTGAGGAACTGGACTCCAGGTTCTGGAACTGGTCCTGCTTGGCTGCAGAGATTCGGTTCAGGTCGCAGAGGATGGCGTCCAGCAGGGACCTGTCAGAGGGCGACTCCACCCGGTGTGGTCGGAGAACCTGAGCGTCTCCACCACCGTGTCCATCTTCACGGGACGGCTTCGGACCGGCCGCCGGGTCGAACCCGCGGGCGTCGGTTTGTCCGGCATCGTTTTGGAGCCGCGCGTCGTCCTCCATGTGGTCCACGTCGCTGTTGTCACTGATGTTGATCCGACCCGCCAACGGTCCCGCCGCCTCGGCCTCAGACCTGTCAGACCCCCGGTCCAGGATCTCCACAGGAAGTTCCCCTATCGCTGTGTCCAAGGCCCCGCCCACCCCCGCCGAGTGGGCCAATGGGAGCGGAGGAAGGTCAGAGAAGTCGATGGTGTGCTGGCTGCTGAGGGGGCTGCTGCTGCCGCTGAGGAGCTTCCTGCCGTCGCTGCTGTCGCTGTCCAGGGTGATGATGACCGGAGGACTGCACACAAACACAAAGAGGACACCTGACAAAAACACCGACTACACAAGTCCAGCACCTTCAGGGTCACGCTCCCAACACTGAAGACAAACAATCTGTTTAGGTTTACACAAGATGAAGATTTAATTCACAAGCCTCTCCTGGGGACTGGAGCTCCGGGCGCTCGACAAACATCTGAGGAGTTTGAAACATGAACAGAACCGGTGCAGTTTGAACACAAGCCGACAGCCGGTCGCAGACCGGATCGATGCTCGGCGAGAACTTTGCTGCTCTCACTTCAGAGCAGCGACGCCCGCTCATCACCTTGAACTGTGTCGGAAACAGACTGAAGAGCGAGTTCTAGCCTCGGCCCGTCACGATAACGGTCTGCTGGACGATTTATCGTCTCACTAATTATTGAGATCAACGATAATATTATTTGAAACTTGACAACAATTAGTAATTGTCAAATTTAAAGTTAATTAAAGGTTAATTAAAGGTTGGTTAATGTTTGTGTGTAGTACCTTTCTTGACCACTGGATGGCAGTGTAAGACTGTTTGAATGAAGGATGGATAGTGAGGGAGCGAGCAGCGTCTCTTTAGGAACAATGTGAGGGAGGCCCCTTGACGTGACATGGGCTGTCTGTTCGGTTCTCAACATGGCGGACGCTCGGTGGTTTGAGCTCTTTAGCATTTTTCACACAAAGCTTTTAATAAAAAAATCAGTCAACAAGTTCTCAGCTTCTTTTTTCAGAGAAAAACAACTTTTTACACAAAGACACGAGTTTCAACTGTGAATTTTGGAGCTTCGACAAGACGGAGGGTTTTACCCGACGTCGGCCTGTTAGCTTAGCTCGTAGCTTAGCTTCTCAGTTTAGCTGCTTTTAATCGTTCAAAAACACGATGTTGGACGTTAAAACAGATTTTAAAGAGAAAGGGAGGGGTCGGTGTCATTGAGTGTCTTCAGTAGAAAGACACGAAGAAACGATATGAGGTCGATCATTTTCATTTATCATGAGATTAATTGATTTATTGATTATCACAGCAGGTCTATTGTATCCAAAGCTCCTCCTCATCAAGCTCCAACCCCAGATCATCCTCTCTGATACATTATTTGATGTCAGAACCTCCACGTTGTATATTTAATAAGGAGGACAGAGACTCCCCTGGACAACCTGCCACAGTGGGGCGCCCCGCTGGTATAATGGGAACACTGGAGTGTTTTTCCCAGCAGCCTCTTTGGAACCTGGATTTGGTTCAAACAGAGTCTGAGAGAGTTGTGGCTGAGAAGGGAAATGAATAAATGATGCTGATCTAAAACAACAAGAATCTAAAAACATGAGAGTTAGGGATGTTAAATTTAAACATCAACTGATCAAAGGATACAAAGGTGTCGTCAATGAACTGTTGCAGCTCCTCTGTTAGCCCATGAACTCTGGCCTGGACTGGTGTTTTTATCGTAGGAGCACAAGTGGGCCGAGCTCTGAGAGGAGAACTCGTCTGAGCGGTGTCAGAATTAAAGAGTGTTTCACAAACAGCTTTGAGGTGAATTAAGATTTAGATTCAAAAAGAGCGAGTCTTGAACAGAGCAGAGGAAGAAGTACGGAGGCAAGAGAAGTTCTCCGTTCACAACCTTCTGAGGTGCTGTCACTAGATGGGAGATGTTTCCAGTACAACCTGGACCTAACGTTAGAGGCCCAGTAATAATACTGGAAGTTAGGAAGGGCTAATCCTCGGTGCTGACGATGCTGATGTTAGACCTTCATCCGTTTGATGGTTTTTCTTATTCCATATAAATCCTGATCATGTGTCCACGGACGTGAAAAGGATTTAGACGAAATAGATAGACATGTGTACAACTTTCATTTTTAATGTATTAATGGTAGCTACTGGTGACGGGGAGTAAAGTCCAACCACATCCAGGAGCTAAAAGTAGCGTTTGTAACAAAACAGTTTAATTTTTATTCATTATTATTTTCAGGTTGCTATAAAATAAAAACTGTTTGTCGACACATTTAGTTTACCAGAAATCTTTTCAAGCTGCAGCAGATTTTTATGAACAACCGAAGGTCGCCCCCTGCTGGAGGTCGTCACAGCTGCAGGGACTAAATCTAGGCTCAGCCCCGCCCCCTGGGTCACGTGACCGTACCTGCTGTGCCGCGCCCTGCGGTGGCGTTTCCGGCGGCGTTTGTGCCCCAGAGGCCGCTCCACGTTGGAGGAGACGGTGCCCTCGTAGATGATCTCCACACTGGGACTCCGGTCTCCTCTGGACCTCTTCCTGCTGGGGGACGACACAGACCAGAGGTTGGGTCATCATGGGGGGTCTTTATGCGTCACGTGTTGAAGTTTTGTTACGATCAGAAAGTTGTTAAACAATTTAAAATATTTTCAAGGCGGTTTTGAAGCTAACAGGAAGCGGCTCTCACCTCTCTTCTGTCTCCTGCTGAGCCTCCTTCCTCGGCCTCTCCTTCCTCCTCCTCCTCTTCTCCCTCTGCCGGCCCCCGTTCTGCCTCCAGGTCGGGTCCTTGGTGCTGCTGTTCAGGTGCCGGCTCTTGTACTTCCTCTTCCCGCCGGGCTTCTCCACATGGCGGGCGAGCTCGACGGAGGAGCTCCTCGGCGTCGGTGGCGTCCGCTGCGGCGAGAGGCAGAGAGGGGAGGATGAGCAGGAGGGGGAGGAGACGGGGGAGGTGAGGGGGGAGACCTGGGTGCAGCGGAAGTCGGGGCTGGACGGCAGCGGGGAGCAGGAGTCGGCGCTGGAGTCGAACAGCAGGGGGGAGCAGCGCCGCATCATGGGGGGGTAAATGGAGCGGTTTGGGTTGCTGAAGGTGCCGCTCCTCCTCAGGCCCTCCTCTCGCCTCCTCTTCTTCTTCCTCTTCTTCTTCTTGCTGCTCTGCCCGTCGTCTCCCCGCCGCAGAGGGGATGCCGGGTCGAGTGAGCGCACCGACTTCCTGCTTCGTCCTGAACTTCCTGACCAGGACCGAGGGCGCCGCCCCCACACCTCCTCGTTCTTCTGTCCCACCTCCTGCTCCTCCCTGAAAGCACCTGACGTTGAGGGTGGGCTTATGGGTAGGTATGAAGAGGAAGGAGTGGGGGAGGGAAGGGGAGGAGCCTTCTCAAGTGGTTGCTCCTCCTCCTCCTTCTCTCCCTGCTCCTCCTCAGAGTCGGAGGAGAGCTGCACCAGCTCAGGAGTTCGCTCCGCGATCGGCTTCTTGTACCCGACAATCAGACACTCCTCCTCTGCTGCCTCCTCCAGTCCGTCTCCTCCTCGCTCAATGGCTGGCTCCTGAGGGGCGGGGCTTAACGGCAGCGGAGGATTGAGCGAAGAGGACGGTTCTGCTGTGGAGTAGGAGGGGCCAGGCGTTTCATCGTCCCACCCCGACAGGCTGAGGCTGCTTCCTGTTTGGATGATGTCACTGATATCGTTGCTCACGGTTCCCTCAGATCCTCCTCCCCTCTCCCCCTCCTCCTCAGATATGGCGATGACGGAGCTGCCCTCGGAGCTGCTGAGCCCGTCCAGCTCCATGGTGGCGGCGGGGGGAGGATCGTACACCGCCTGCAGGTCGTAGCTGTCCATGTTGAGTGGCGAGCGGGCGAAGCTCAGCAGCTCGTGCAGGAAGTGCTGGGTGCGCGCCTGCAGGAACGGCTGCAGGTCTTCCTCCAGGTTCAGCGTGTTCTCCAGACCGTGGAGGGCGAGCCGGGCCATGATGATGTTCTGAACGATGTCCACCAGAGACGAGTTGGAGCCGTACATCACCCTCAGCTCCCGCCGCAGCCAGGGGCGGAGTCTGTTCAGGTGGGTGGAGCTTTGATGGAAACTCTCTGCTGTGATCTCGCGCTGTTGCCCCGGGTTACCGTTGACCCCTGCAATGCCACGGACCCGTATGCCGCATCGGTAGAGCATCCGGCGAAAATCGAGCATCTGCCCCTCCCTCAGCCGCTGCACGGTCCCGCCTTCCCGCTGCAGCCGCTGCCTCGCCGCCAGGCGGGCCATCAACCGCCGTAACACCCGGCTGTTAGAGGCCAGAGACGCCGCCGCCCCTCTAAGTCCTGTCAGCTGATTAAACAGGGCCCCGTGATCTGCGGCGTCTGCACCCCCCCTCACCCTCTCCCCCACCAGCTCCTCCGCCTCCTCGCTGTCTTCTGCTACATTTGAGACAGACAGGTGGCGAGAAAGAGGAGGGAAAGAAAGACTCGGATGATCGAAGTACAACTCCCACACACCCCTCGCCCTCTCCTCCGACACCCTCCCTCTAGCTCCCCTCTCCCTCCTGCGCCTCCTCGTGGTCGTCTCCCTGCCGTCAGCCACCCGGTGCCTCCTCAGCATCAGTCTCATGTGATGGTCACTCCTGGCCGCCGATGCCATCGCTGCCACCATGGCCACAGTGGCGGCCACGCTGTTGTTGGGGGGGGGCGGCTGCAGGGTGTACTCCTTGAAGTCGTCCTCGGCGCGGACCGAGTGCAGGATGGAGGCAAAGGGCTGCTTGCAGAGCGGACACTCGGCCTTGTTGTGCGACCACTCCTGGATGCAGGGGAAGCAGAAGCGGTGCAGACAGTGGTCCAGGTATGCCAGGTTGTTGAAGCGATCCAGACAGATCGGACACTTGGAGTCAGGCGACGTCTCCTCGGCTGCCATCACCGCCCGTGTGGAGGTGGTCGGAGGTGAAGAGGAGGTGGACGCGGGAGCCACTGTGGCCGACGCTGAGGTTTTGTTGCTGCTTTTCCTCCTGCTGCTGCTCCTGCTGCCCTCTCGACTCCTCTCTGTGGTTCCGTCTACAGAACCGCCCGCTCCTGAGGCGGCTGCAGCGTCGCCCCGACGAACACGCAGCTTCATCCGCATGGGCGCCGTCACCTGAGCACACAAAACACAGGATTTAATGCAAACTTTAAACTGACCCGTTTATCTCCCGTGTTACACTCTGTAAACTTTAAATAAGTTACTTTAACACAAAAAGCTCATGCCGGATGACCCCATGAGGTAAAATCAGCTGAATGTGTCATTTAAAACAAGTCACTCAGCTCATTAACCTGAACTGTAGCTGAAGAAACTTCAGTGTTCACGGTCAACACTAGCAGACTCAACACCTGTATTCATCTGTAACTTAGATGTAAACACTTTTATATTCTGTTGGCAGTAAAACATTTTAGTTTTGCGCGTTTCTTGTCAAAATATACTGAAAAATGTGCAACTACAGAACGATGCTGTTAGCATGCTAGCAAGCTAACCAGTTAGCATCGAGCTAAACGGCTGTTGCTTAATAAAAAAACGACCAAATTAAACTCAGCATTTTAAACTACAAGCTGCAGACATCCCGTTACATTAGAGGTCACGTGACATGGAGCAGGTAACTTTCTGCCTCTCTGACGTTGTTAGCATGCTAACATGGCTAGCTCCCAGCACCTCCGCAGCAGGAACATCTCCGGCGGTTCGCTCCTCGTTATCCGGTTTCTTTTTCCTTCTCCGGGAGGAATTCCGCGCCGGGAGAGGCATTTTCCCGTCGGCGATGATGTCGTTCTCCCCGGCTGCGGTACTCTGGCCCGTTTAGAACCAGGATTCCGTTGAAAACAGAGACATTTTGTGTCGGTTGTTCCAAACCGTAGCTGCTTTCAGGGACTAGTGGAGACCGCGGGGCATGTCGGGAATTCAACCTCCGCCTGCTTATCGCCGTAGAGACAAAGATCGCAAATAAATAAAAAGACAACTCACTAACAGCGAGAAATAAATACAACCTACAAAAAAAAGGTTTGTAAACTCAATCATCCTGGTAGATAAATCACAGAAAAGCTTAAATCATGTCCAAATGTCAAGAGTTAAGCTTGTTTGTAAAACTTGTAAAATTACCTTCTTTTGACTGACATTGATTGGCATTTCAGGTCTCTCTTGTAAACTTTTCATTCATTCAATCTTTATTTCTACAGGTTAGTGTCATTGAGCCTCGAGGACTCATTTACAAGAGAGACCTGTTCCAGACAAAGAACGAGAACAGGAGTCCTCGAGGCTCAGTGAGACTTAACTGAAGTACAATTTGTTTGTAAACACTTCATTTAAAGCGCTACATATGTTTGCATTTGTAAAGATTTCTACTTGATTGTTATTATTTTATTCATCGAAAAAGAATATCAGATTAAAGCACAGACGGAGTGAAATAAATATCAGAGTGATACCGCTTCTTTCGTTCTTTGTTTTGTTGCCATGGTAACGGTCTGTTTCCTGCTCGTTACCTCCCAGACTCCTTCGCGTTACTTCAAAAGATTAAAACTGATGCGGAAGTCAGCCAAGATCAAATACATAAACATAAAATAGTCAAATATATAAAAATAAAATACAGTAACGTTAGAGAGCGTTTGTTGATCAAATAAAAGCTCAGCCTCGTCTCCCATGTGACACAAGATGGCGCCGGTGTAGGAGCAGCAGTTGTAAACAAACCGAGCAGAGGAGTTTCGTCGTCCCCGCAGGGTCGTTTGGGTTTTCAGGAAGAGATGGAGACGCTCAGTTCACGGGCTCTGGACAGGGTTTACTCTGTGGTAAATGATTTTTATATAAACTTTGTTCTGAGTCTGAACTTATTGCAGAGTCATGGTTAGCTTAGCCGTTAGCTTAGCCGCTAAAGCTACATCAGAGGTTCAACAAGTTCAATTAAACTGTTGTAACATCTTTAAAATATCATCTTTAATAAAACATCATCAGAAAGTGAATTCATCAGTTGTAAAAGTATTAAACAATGATTTAAAAACACAATTTATGTAAAATGTAAAACGTTGATTCTCCAGACTTGTATGTTTCTTTGAGTCTTTTTAATTTTTCAGTCACTTTCATTGTAAAACAGTTCAGTCTGGTCCTCGACATCAAACGAAACCATTAGATAAAGACGAGTCGTTTCCACAGTTTGTTGTTTTTCATCACGATACTTTCTGTCCTTTGAACAAAACACCACATTGTGTCTTTTTATCAAACTGGGCGTGGAGGATAAAAACAGTTTCATACTTAAAAAATAATAATTAGCAGTTTCCTGTTTATTGTTCATCATCTAAAGAAATAAATCAGGTTGTGGTTCTGAAGGCTGCTGAGAACAAGCGCCTGAAGGTCCAGGTCCAACCACCAGGATCAGTGACGTGTGGTTGGTCTGAGCTGGAGGTCACGGAGCATCTCATCCTCGTTTCTCTACATACCTGCGTCAGGAAACCACCTGTCGCTCTGAGCTCCACACGTCTTATTGTGGCGGTACAACTAGTAGCTGACAGGAAGTGATGTAACGCTCTGCTGTGTCCTGCAGGTCTTACTGGCTGTGGTGGTTCTGTCCTGGTCCTATGTGATCTACGCCAGCAGGGTGGCAGCTGATTGGCTGCTGCAGAGAAGGACCGCCCTCCTGCAGGGAGCCTGAAGGTCCAGCTGAGAACTGCTGCAGGTCTGGATCTGGAACGTCTCCCAGGGGTTCCTGAAAGGTTCTGGTTCAGATGCTCAGTCTTCATCCTGAGAAAACAGAAACGGCATCATCATCATCGTCAGCAGCAGCTTTACGATGAAACTGCAGAAAACAAAGATGGAGATCTGACGCTTAACCTGATCAGAACCAGAACCTAACGGACCCGTGTTCTGACTGAGTGACCCAAACGGACCCGCGTTCTGACTGAGTGACCTAAACGGACCCGTGTTGTGACTGGGTGACCTAAACGGACCCGTGTTGTGACTGAGTGACCCAAACGGACCCGCGTTCTGACTGAGTGACCCAAACGGACCCGCGTTCTGACTGAGTGACCCAAACGGACCCGTGTTCTGACTGAGTGACCCAAACGGACCCGTGTTGTGACTGGGTGACCCAAACGGACCCGCGTTCTGACTGAGTGACCCAAACGGACCCGCGTTCTGACTGAGTGACCCAAA